GGACTACACAGGCAAAGCTCCCCGGTGTGTTGTTCATTTGCATGTACTAGGCCAAAGAATATAGGCTTGGCCTACGTGTTTGCAAAATTGGATAACCCTGAAAAAAGAAAAAATTAAATGTATGGCTCGCATGGCTCGCTGGCTCGCATGACTCGCACATTAATAATTATATAAATAAATATATAAACATATAAATATATAAATATATATAAATACATATATAAATAAATATATATATATAAATATACAACACATATATAAATAAATATATAAATAATTGCAGCATATAGAAATTAATAAAACAGTGTATATATATATATATATATATACAAATATGTATATAAAAATAAATATATAAATAAATATATAATAAATATATATATATATATAAATGAATATACAAATAAATACAGTATATATAAAATAATATATATAAATATATAAATAAATACAGTGTATATATATATATATATTATATATATATATATATATATATCTGTATGTATGTATCTGTATATCTGTATTTTAAAAACATTTATTAGAGCTGCAAGTCCAAAAGTATATGTACTGCGCATGACTGGACTACACAGGCAAAGCTCCCCGGTGTGTTGTTCATTTGCATGTACTAGGCCAAAGAATATAGACTTGGCCTACGTGTTTGCAAAATTGGATAACCTGAAAAAAAGAAAAAATTAAATGTATGGCTCGGCTGGCTCGCATGACTCGCACGACTCGCACATTGGTTCGCATGACTCGCTGGCTCGCATTTTGGCACTACTCGCTTTCACCATACAATTAAGTTCACTGTTGAACTATCTGACTGCCAAATGATGTCCTCGTTAAATGTTCTAACTGCACTATCAGTTCTTCACTTTATGTTAAACCCACTGACTGTCACTACTTCACTACTAGACTCCAGCGCTCATCCTAAATCTCTTAAGTCCTCTATTGTATATATTCAATGCCTTAGAATAAAACGTATTTGCTCGGACCCCCTTGACTATGCTCACCATATTCAAGCTATTACCTGTGTGGTGTTGTGATTATTTACAATATTGGCATTAGCGCCACCTATTGGCGTTAAGGTTGGAAAACTTAGAGAGGAACCATAATGATGATAAATGAATAAAGGCAGAGAACCATATGATGAGTTCTAGTGTTTGTACATTTAATGTATGCGTAGTTACATGATATACTACCGACAGTACAACATTACATTGGCGACGAGGATCATCACCCTACATGGCAGAAGAGATAAAAGTCAAAGTCAAATCTCAGAATTTGATGAGTGAAGTCACACCACCGAGAGAATGCGACCGCAGCCACGTTGAATAGCACAGCCACGTTTATGAACATAGCACAGTTCAACGTGCATAGTCATGATGCTGATCGTCCCCGACGATGGGACAGATGGATAAGGCATTTTGAGATTGGCCTAATAGCAAATAACATAACCGATGATAACAGGAAGAAAGCACTATTATTATTTTATGGAGGCCCAGATCTCCAGGATGAAGTAGACGTTCTACTTAAAACAACCTACTTCCAGGCCTAGACCTATACAACTGCCGCGGCAGATGGCTCTTGTGCAGCAGTGACGTCACAACCAGGTGCGTCTTCGAGTAGTGCGTCGGGATCGAGTAGTAGTACAAGCACAGATACTGCTACGCCGAGTTATGATGTAATAAAGAAACTCTTAAGCTTGCATTTCAATCCCCAAAATAATAAAGATTATGAATCATTGGTTTTTAGAAGGCTTCTGCAAAACAAGGGTGAACTCATGCAAGATTATTATACCAGGTTGCACTAACAAATGTGATTTTTCTGACATTGACCGAGAAATTAAAACTTAGATATTAGCTGGATTTGCTTCAGATAAATTTCGGCAAAAGCTGTTAGAAAAAGAAAGAACATTAAATGACATCCTACTGTTAGCACACGAGCAAATGAACAAGCAGAATTACAGTCAACAGACATTGCACAAAGTACAAGTAAAGACAGTGTTAATAGACTGTATGATAAACGTAAACAGGTATCACATAGGCCTAACAGTAAAGATATGGTGAAACAATGTACATATTGTGGTAGAGATCATGAAATAAGAAAATGTCCGGCATACGGCAAAGTTTGCAAGAAGTGTCACAAACGTAATCATTTTGCTAACGTATGTAGATCACCTGTAATGAAACAAACAAACAAGTTTACTAGACCTAAGTTGAATACTGTAATACATGACATTAGTGAAGAATATGATACAAATTGTAGTGAAAATGGTCATAATGAGTATGTATTTGGTATCCCAGAAAGTAAACTTCCCAGTAGTACAATTAGAGTTGATAATGAGTTTGTCAGATTCATTATAGATACGGGTGCCTCAGTTAACATTATAGCAAGTGAAGTATTTGATAACTTTAAGAAAAAGCCTATGCTTCCGAAAACACATGTTAAAATTTATGGTTTTGGTAGTGACGAACCATTGAAAACTAGAGGTGTTTGTAAGATAACGTTCCATGCAGAAAATGAGGTAAAATGTGAGGATGATGTTTACATTGTTGATGGCAATGTTGGTGACATACTCTCATGGATGTCGGCGGAAAAGCTTAACTTGGTTAAGGTGACTTGTAACAATAATGTAATGGATATTAGAGATACAAATATTCCTACTAATAATGCAACAAATGTTACGGATAATGATGATGGTGTACAGTCCATACACTCAGAAATTGTTGACAAGTACCCAATTTTTGACGGGATTGGAAAATTTAAAGGGGTTGAAGTTAAACTACATATTGATCCAACTGTAAAACCCACACAGCGAAAACACAGAAGGATTCCATTTCACATAAGAAAAGATGTAGATAAGGAGTTAAATAGATTGATGGATTTGGATATAATCGAAAAGGTAGAAGGTCCAACACCCTGGGCAAGCCCAATCTTCGTTGTACCAAAAGGCAATGGGTCTATAAGAATCTGTGTTGATATGAGACAGGTTAATAAGGCGATTCTCAGAGAACGTCACCCAATCCCCACATTAGATGACATAGTAAGTGACCTTAATGGTGCCACTGTGTATAGTAAATTAGATTTACGATCAGGTTACCATCAGTTACCCCTCCACGAGGATTCTAGATTTCTTACTACCTTTACCACTCTTTCCGGTCTATATAGATATAAAAGGTTGATATTTGGTGTCAATGCAGCTTCAGAAATTTTCTCAGCTGAAGTAGGAAAACTGTTGTACGGGCTTAAAGGCTGTAAAAATATCTCGGACGACATTGTTATATTTGGACGAAATGAACAAGAACACGATGAAAATTTGAAAGCGCGACCTTAGAGCGACTACAGCAGCATGGAGTTACGCTCAACAAAGAAAAATGTGTGTTCAGAACACATGAAGTAAAATTCTATGGTCATATTTTCAACAGTAAGGGCTTGGCAGTTGATCCCCGGAAAGTTGAAGATATTCAAAACGCTCCACGACCAACGAATGCAAGCGAAGTTCGATCTTTTCTCGGACTAACACAATATGTGGCGAGATTTATCCCCGATTATGCATCACTGACAACATCGCTGCGTAAATTGACGCGAAAGAATGTCTATTTCAAATGGACAGACACCCAAGAACAAGCTTTTATTAAACTTAAAGCCGCCCTCATCAGCCCCACAGTGATGACATACTTCGACATTCAGAAAAACTCCCAGGTGTTAGTGGATGCAAGCCCAACAAGATTAGCCGCTATGCTCTGCCAAGATGGCAAAGTTATAGGATACGCTAGTAGATCGTTGACCGGTGTAGAACAGCGATACTCGCAAACAGAGCGGGAAATGTTAGCTGTCGGTTTCGGTGCTGAACATTTTCATTTGTATTTATATGGAGCAAGATTTCAGATAATGACTGACCTTAAACCATTACTCAGCATATTCAACCAAAACAAGCCAATGAGCACACGAATTGAACGCTGAAGGTTAAGATTAATGCCATATAATTACGAGTTGGAATACCGACCTGGACACGACAACCCGGCTGACTACTTAAGTCGACACCCAAACAAGACAACACAAGACACTGAAGAACAGCAAACTGTTGCGCATGTTAATTATATTGTACGCAACGCAATCCCAAAGGCGATGAAACTGAGTGATATTGAGGCTGAAAGCAAAGTTAATAGCCAACTACAGAAATTGAAACAGGCAATTGAACAGAATAAGCATGCGTTGTGGAACGAAGCTGAAATTCGCGAATTTAAGCAGTTAAAAGATGAGTTGACAGTAACGGACAACATCATACTCAGAGGACATACTATAGTTATACCCAAATCATTACGTAATAAAGTGGTAGAAATCGCACACGCTAGTCATCAAGGCATTGTGAAGACGAAGGCCTTAATTCGAGAAAAGGTCTGGTTTCCAGGGATGGATAAATTAGTCACGGGAAAGGTCAAATAATGTGTTGCATGTCAGGCATCAAATGCGCAAAATGCAGAACGCATTGAACCCTTAAAAATGTCAAGCATGCCAAAAGCACCCTGGAAGGAAGTTCTAAAGGACTTTAAAGGGCCATTACCAAATGGAAAATATCTTTTGGTCGTATAAGATTTATATAGCCGTTTTCCAGAGGTCGAAATTGTAACATCGACGTCGGCACAAGCAGTATTGCCAAAACTCGATGCTATACTAGCACGACAAGGAATTCCAGAGATCTTCCAAACCGATAACGGTCCGCCATTCACAAGCAATGAATTTCGACAATACGCAGAATATCACGGGTTTAAACATAAACAAATAACACCATTGTGGCCACGTGCAAACGCGGAAGTAGAACGATTCATGTCAAATTTAAAGAAAACTCTCTTAACAGCAAGTATCGAACACCGAAACACACAACAAGTGTTGTACGAATACTTACGACAATACAGAGCAACGCCACACACTACAACACAGATATCCCCAATGGAACTTTTGAATGGGCGAAAATGTCTACTCGCTTACCAGAGATAACTATAGCTAGAAATGACGATGAGATTCGTAAAGTCGATTCAGAAAATAAACAGAAAATGAAAGAATATGAAGATAGAAAACTTAATACTAAGGAAAGTTGTCTAAAAGTAGGAGATGGAGTATTACTTAAGCAAAGGAAAGGAAATGCATTTACTCCACCGTTTGATCCAAAGCCATTTCGTATTATAGAAAGAAACGGTAATTCCATAAGAATTCAGAGAAATGACTTGCAACTTTGGAGAAATGTTAGCCTTTTTAAGAAGGTAGTAGAAGGTATAAAGAAAAAATAGATGATCCCTTAAGTGACGTAGAGCTGGATAGTATTGTATAAGGTGATTCTATAACCGAAGAAAGGGGGGAAAAGGAAAAAGGGAAAACTTTGTCAAAGCAAACAATAACGAGAAAGAGTCTTAGAAACAGAAGAATGCCAAAAAGGTATAATGAGTTTATAATGCACTAAGCAAGCAAGTTAAGATTTATAAATCTAGATTGACAAGGTACATTTATAGTGATTTTGTCACAACCAAGAAGTTTTAGTTTTGTGTTTATAAAGAAAACAGTTGTTCAGAGTTTTAACAGGAAAATGTTTAGTGTTATAAAAGTTATTGAGTTAAGGTTCTATTCGAGGTTAAGGGGCATGTGGTGTTGTGATTATTTACAATATTGGCAGTAGCGCCACCACCTATTGGCGTTAAGGTTGGAAAACTTAGAGAGGAGCCATAATGATGATGAATGAATACAGGCAGAGAACCATATGATGAGTTCTAGTGTTTGTACTTCATTTAATGTATGCGTAGTTACATGATATACTACCGACAGTACAACATTACAACCTGTAAATTTCTCAGTGCTGGCTACCCCCTCAAATTAATCAAGCATCAGATACAGAAAGCCCACTCTAAACCCCGCAAAGACCTCCTCCAGTACAAGCCGAAGCTCTCTAACAGTAATCGAATCCCCATTGTCTTAGACTATCACCCCCTCAACCGAACTATTGCCGGTTCTATTCGGAAGGATTTCCCTATCATCCAACAGGATCCTTCCATTAACCGTCTTTTCACCGACCCCCCTTTCCTAGCCCAACGCCAGCCCCCCAACCTCCGTTCCATCCTTTCCCCCTCACTTTTAACTAGCCCCATGCCCAGATCTACAGGCAATCACCTATGCAACAAGCCCCGATGCAAAATTTGTAAAATCCTTATCACCGATCAGACCATTCGTATCACTAACCACTCAATAAAACCTCCCAACCTCACATGCGATTCTCACAACATAATTTATTTAATAACATGTAATATTTGTAACAAAGGCAATTACGTTGGCGAAACCATGAACCCTCTTAGATTCCGCATTAACCAACACAAACACGACATTAGGAAAAACGCCCCTGACAAAACCGTAGCCCAACATTTTAATTTGCTTCATCACTCTATTAACCATCTGCGTGTTACCATTATCGACTCTAACTTCAACTCCACTCATCATCGCCGCCTTTCTTAACTTTCCTGGATTATCAAGCTTAAAACTCACACTCATGCCTTAACAAAGATCTTGACTTTCTAGCTGACTTCACCTTTCACCTCTAAACTGTTTATTCTGGCCTATATTCTCCCACCACTGCTATTTCTCAATTTGTTACTGATCTGTAATAGTTTATATTGATTGTATTTGCTATATACATTTAGGCCTATACTGTTTAATTAGACTTTAAGTGCTGTTTTGAGTCATTTCAATTGTAACCCTAAAGAGGGGAGCAGGCGCTCCCGAAAATTTGTTTTTTTAAAATAAAATATACCGTATGCTTCAAAGTAGTCACCTTGTGAAGAATGTTATTTCTGTTCTGCTTACTTATTTTATATATATTGAAAGCATACGTGGATTGGATATATTTTGATCGTCACCAACATGTTATATATATATATATATATATAT